TATTTAAATAATTCTTTATTTTTCTGTGATCAAATGTTCAGTGATGTAATTCAAATGGTTTTTAACATATTCAAATTTTTTTTTTCAACGATATCCTGCACACCCCTGTATAATTTGAATGTAATACACAAGTTGAACAAAAACTCTAAATTAACGTTTTTGTATGAATTTTGCTTCAAGATTCTCTCTTACATTTTCTTTTATCGTGTTTTATTTTCCTTAATTAATATGAAACTATAAAAAAAATACAGTTACAATCATTTATTACAAACTTGGAGGTTTATTACTAAGAAGATAGTTGTGAAGCTGACGTATTTTATTTTTCATATACCTATTTCATTTAGAAGATGGTTTTTTTTTCTTTTTTTCTTTTTTCAAGTTGATTTAGGTGCCCCAAGAAGTCTAAACGGTCTTATCACAGAGCACACTTCCCAACCGATGTCGCAAAACTTTCCCAGTGGTGGGGTTTGAACCATCTTACGGTTGTGAAGCTTATTTTATATTTCATTGTAGAAACAAAGAGCGTCATAAATAAACTATTTTCGAACATATCTTTATAATAATAGGTTTTAAAAATAGGTAAAAACATAAATGAAGGCGGTTGCTAAGACCGTTGCTAAGAATTTTAAAATGACCATGTTTCCTTTGAATACCAATTTAGAGACTTTTTATTAACTTTTAAAGAAAAATAAAGAGATACTCATAAACTAGTTGCTTAAATCTTTTGAAATTAAAAAAAAAAAATTTACCGGGTAGTAACACCTTACACAAATTATTTTGCAATGAAAAATTATTATTATCATTTTTATTTTAAATTTTAGCTTAATGCAAAAGAGTTATTGACATTCAATTGTAAAAATTTGTTTACGGCAAAAAAACACAGATCAAAGTTTTTTTTTTTTTTTAAATAAGTTTCTCAAAAACCACGATTGCTTTTCCAGATTAGAGTAGGATTTCAAACAAATGTGATAAGAATGTTATTGTTTAAATTCAATAGAAATTTTGTATTTTGACAAATATATTAAACATATAAACAAATATATTAAATATTTAAACAAAAGTCTTATTTTGAACTACATTGATAGTTTTTCCTTTTCTTTCTATATCCATATTATAAAGGTCGTTTATTGCCAGAAATAAAAAACACTGACGAAAAACTTGCCATGACAATTCAATGTATGATTAACAATCACGCAGCAAATACGCAATTCTATCGGCGACTGGAGAAAAAGTTATCATTTGTACGTTTAGCCTTGGATGACCTTACAAATGACCTATCACTATGATCGGTTGAAATTTGGACGTTTTTTAAATTGAGTTTTTGCAAAGACAACTTAACCAATTATAATTATTTTCTTTCATAATGATGCTTACATGATTAATTTTTATTTCAATAAAAATAAATACAGCCTTAACTTTACGATGTGCAAGTAATCCAAATTTTTGTAAAGGACCCGCCATAACCTTTACAATTTTACTTCACGCCATTTTTTTTGTAGCATTATTTCATGAATTTTGAAAATTTTAAAACTATTTTTACATTTGCCTATTTTCCTTACTATTCACTTCACAATTACCCAGTAATATAAGATTCAATAACTCGCTGCTTAGGACAGTTTGGTGGATTAGCATTCTTTGGAACAAAATTGACTATTTTTCTTATACCACTGAATTACTTTTATGGAATAGTGGATCGATGCCAGATCTGGCTAAAATAGGGTTGATTATTTGTGCTTTTTAAGTTGAGGAAGAAGTCATTTATTTGTGCTTTTTAAGTAGAGGAAGGAGTAGTTTTTTCAAGCATTCACTCACATATAGATCTGGTGTTAAAGATTGATTTGTTCTGAAAGGAAAGCTTTTAAAACTTCAAATGCAAATTACCTGCCATACAAGAAAGTCGAAAGTGATTTTCTTACTCAAATGTACTAAAATTTGTTAGAAGTTTTATAATGTTTCGACTGATAATAGTATTGATTACCTGGAAGCATCGAGTGATTTTTATTACAGAAAGTTTTATCGTTTTCTAAAATGCATAAATTTTTTTTCGTAATTAATTTAAGGAAATATTTAGCTTATCCAATTGATTTGGTTTCTCCATCAATCTTTTTTGGTATTTTTTTCTTGTAATTTTCAGATTTTCTATTTTGAATACTCTTTAAACGAAAGCTTTATTTAAACTTCGTAGCTAAATCTTGTTGTAACTGAGTCGGATTTTGATGAATTGAGTAGACTATTAATTTTGCCTTCTTTTGGAAATAAATCTTGATTCTTCACCACTTCCGATTTTCTTTTTACAGTTTTGTTTTCCTTATAACAATTTGTAAAACTTCCGACAGTTGATTTTGGAGCTTTACATGCTTTTGAATTTATGGAATATGAGAACAATGTAAAATTTAAAATTTTTTTTCGATTTTCAGACATTGCGAAAACTAACGAACAGTAAACAAACTGCATTCACACACAAGAAAACTAATTATGTTAGCATCATTATAAAAAAAAATCATAACAGTTGAGTGGTTTTTGAGAACACTTGATTTAAAATCGTCCGAATTTTACCTGATCATGGTGATCGACCAAAACAGAAAAAAGCCGAAACCGAAATAAACGTTACTCAAATTCGGTGCCTAAACCGAAACCAACATTTAGGCAAGCATTTTATCAAAACCGATACCAATATTTCGGCAAGTCAAAATTAATTTTATTAGAAAAGTTTATCTTAAAAAACGCATTTTTACATTTTAATTTTTTTATATTTGTACTATGTTAGAATTGGTTACACGTGTTTTCCAAATTGAGATTTGATACATAATTTGACAATATAAGTTAATAGCGAAAGTTAACTACTGGAAGATTTTCTCTTCAAAACAAGATATTTTTGAAGTATTTTGTAAAAAACTTCAAAATTTTTGTGAAAATTTTCAAAATATTTTGTGAAAATTCTCAAAATATTTTGTAAAAATTCTCAAAAATAACTGTATTTCTAAAAAAGTTTAAAACCTCACAAATTTTTTCGGTATATTTTTCAACCGAAATTTTGCTTTTTACCGAAAGTACCAAAGACGAAATTTCGCTATCGGTTCAAATTGAAAATTCGGTAGATCACTAACTAAGAGGCATAAAGTTCTACAAAAAAAAGGTGTTTTGAGTTGCACAATCCTCCACTGAAAAACTTCCTCCACTATAGAAGGAGCATTAAATCTAAGAATGTTGATGTTTTAGCATAATGGGAAAACAGTGTTAAGGAGCTACCTTTACTTGCAAGCTTAGCAAAAACTATCTATGCATACCGGTAAAATCTGTTTCATCCAAAAAAATATTTTATTTGGATGGTCAAGTAGTCACTGATCGGCGGTACAATCTAAATCTAGAGAAGCTTAGAATGATAGTATTTGTCAAAAAAATATCTTCTGTTAAATAAAACATTAAACAAATGGATGCATTTTGTGGTTGATGAGCCAGCTCATCAACCACAACTAGAAAAACTTAAAAACGCCAAAGTCACCTTAACAAGACCCTTCAGTCTCTCTGCTTGGTCCCACACCTCAACCATCAACTTCAAAACCAGACTTTAAGAGCGGGTCTAAATGGGCAAGACGTCAATTGATTCAAAGTTTTTTATTAGCACATAAAAAATCTAAAACTCCAATAAAAATAAAAAAACTCTACTTCTAACGCATCCTGTGAGTTAATATATGAAATCAGTTTTGAAAGTGATAAACCACATAAATTCTACATCCGTCAGGACTTCCTTATCTAGTAGAAAATTTTCATCTCTCACATCTTCCTCTTTATAAAATGGTTTAAAATAAGTAAAATTTTGTATTTTTTTTGTATTGTTGAATAAAATAAACTCCTGTTCATTTAAATGCGACTTTTTATTTTATTTAACTACACAAAAAATTGTAGCAATTACGTTAAAGTTGCTTTTTATCGTTATTTAAGGTCATTATTCTCATTAGTTAAGGTTACTATGTATTTAGCTAAAGCCACTAAACACACCTTAAACAACGAGTTTCTAGCCAATAGTTTATATAAGCTTTAAAACTAAAACAAACTGATATGCTCCTAGTAGCACGGAAATCCGCCGTGTACAAAATAAGTGTTTGCATATTTTTTCGTAAATTCATCTACTATATATTTGGTTTTCCATAAGTTTTGAATAAAATCAGATAGATGAAACTGATGGATGACGTCACGCGTTGTTTCGTAGTTGTTATTATCAAAAAAAAATTCGAAAAAATCGGTATCGTATGCATTTTTACTGTCACCGTTCTTTTTAACCACATAGGGACGTAATACTTTAAAATAGAAATGCCTAAAATCATCACTTCCTATGTTATAAAGAGCGTTGCCATTTATGTGAAAGTAGTTAGGAACATATAAATCATTTTTCATAAACTGTGTTAAATCACCTCGGAAGCAAGAGCCTTTAATCCAAAACTTTCCGCTGTCAATCTCGTTGATCAGAGCATTCAGCCAGTTGGATTTGATTGGTCGTACGTCTGGTTCCATGTAAAACACAAAATCTGTATGATTAAAATGTTCATTACTTTTGTTGAGCATTGATTCAAACATTAACCTTGAGCCTGTTACATGCTGATCTTCGCCTATACTATTGTATTTATAAAAAACCATCTGTGTATCAGCGAAACACTCCAAACTTTCGTTTGAAATTAAACTTAATTTTTTTACAATGTCTTGGTCTGCATTCAAATAGCTCATGTAAAATATTAGCTCTATGTTTTCAATGGTTGAATTTTTATGATCACATGGTTTAAACTTTTTCCATTTACTTATGTTATCAAGTACTTTTTCGATTTGTTTAATTTGAAATGGAATTACTATTTTTAACTTTCTAACTTGCTGTGTTGTGTTGTGCTGCGGATGTTTAAATGGATCGGTGTAGTTAAATACGATTGGTACTAACGGTACTTTGATAAATATTTTCATATAAAAGAAGAAAATAGCGCAAACAATAGTTAATAAAGTTGTTAACTTACATACATGTCCCTTTTTTAAAACGAATTTTTTTTGACATACCATAATTCACAACAGATATTTAGCCGAAGCAATTTCAATGATTGATCTTTTTTGTATGATACCTATTCAAATATTATTTTAAATATTATTTTAAATATTATTCAAATATTATTTCAAGTATTATTTTAAATATTATTTTAAATATTATGTTAAATATTATTCAAATGTTATTTCAAATATTATTTTAAATATTATTTTAAATATTATTCAAATATTATTTCAAATATTATTTTAAATATTTCTCTAAAACTAAAACAAAAGAAAAGGAAAATAATGAAAAAATATATTTCAATGTTAAACACATAAGGGGTTGTCTACATATCACGTCACGCAATTTTTGACCGTTTTTCAGTCCCTCCCCTCTCCCTCGTCAAACCGTCGTAACTCTTTTAGTAACAAGATCGATTGAGCCGCTGCAAAACCACTACACCCCCTCCCTCGAGACGGGACGTTATTTATGGACGACCCTAAGCACAACATTTAAGTTACATGTTGTATTTTTTTGTTTATAAAGTTATTTGAGAGGCATTTAAAATTCATAAATACTTCTTAAATATAATTCAGTTTTAGCTGAACCAATTAAACTTACCCAAGATTCTACATAAAAAGATTTTTCAAGTTCAAAAAAATAAAATATATTTTCAAAAACTCTGCAATGCAAATTTTATTTTTATTAAAATAATGCGGAGTGAGCTAATTCAGTTAAGAACTCGTATATTGTTTTATGTTGTAAGATTTATATGCAGTTTATAGAAGAATAATTTTCAGTATAAAAATATATATGTATAAAATGCGTCAGTGTGTTAGCCAGCCTGATGATGCTGCATATAACGCGGAATTCCCAATTTGTATAATTTTATTTACAAATGCTAAAGTTTAATTATCAAACACAAAATTTACAAATACAAAAAATAAGATATCAAATTAGTCGTTTAAGTTTACTAGCCGTCCTTGTGCGGTGAACTAGTCTCACTCTGCCCCTAAAATACCGATGTTGCTTCTTTAAATTAGTTCTAAAGTTGCAACTAACATTCTATTTGACCAATATTGGCGAGCCAAGCAAGATGCGGATCTAAAAGCTATCAATCTTTAGATTTAAAAAAGTTTTTTCTACTTATTGCTGACAACGTTTTATAGTCTCAAATATAATATTTAATGCAATTTTAAAACACTATAGAATTGATTAAAACTTACAAATAAAAAAAATTTTAATGATAAAAATTACTTTTTTTTTAAATGTGGGAATGCAATGACTATTTTTTTTTTTTTTAATTATTGCTAGCAAAAAAAATAACTCCCAAAATCATAATAATATAAAAAGATTAAAGCCTATAGACCAGTTGCAAATGTTTACATTTTTGCCGTAAACTAACGCATGAGAAGTAGTTGGTAGGCAAAAGAAAATAAACAAAACATTATTGAAACATAATGCCTGTATCTTGTTGTGCTTTTGGTTGCTACAGTAGGAAAAAAAAAGGAGATTGTTTAAGTTTTTACCGAATTCCATTTGGAACAACAACAGAAAAAGAAAAAGAAAAAAGGAAATTTTGGATCAGAGCAATTAAACGAGATAAATGGTCTGAAAAACAAATAGATAATGCTCGTATATGCAGTCTCCATTTTATATCAGGTATAGTATTATATACAATTGCTTTAAAAGATAATTCAATTATAATGTTTTTAATTAAAACATTTTACAGGAAAGAAATCAAACTATTCATTACACCCTGATTACGTTACCAGCATATTTTCTTTTAATAAAACCGAAACTATCCTTACAAAAAAACCCAGCGAACTTCCAGCGAAAGTTCGTTGGAAATTAAAAGATCACTGGAAATTTACTAAGATCACTGGGTTTTCGCTGGATTTCAATGGAAACAAAAGACTTCGCTGGAAGTTCGCTGGAAATCCAACGAAAAACTTCCAGTGATCTTAAAGTTCGCTGGAAGTTTACTGGGTTTCTTGCGAAATATTTCGCGGTGATGTAAAAAGCGTTGCTGTTACAACTTCTGCAAGCAGTTAAAACTTGGAAAATTGATAATATAGCTTCTTAAAATAATATTTCAAATTTTTGTATAAAAGTAATCCTTTTTATTTTATTTTTTGCATTTAATAGATGATCTACAGTGTGAGTTTCAATTATTATTAGTTCTACTCAAGTTACAAAACAAAATCATCTGGTATGTTGCTCAAAATAATTATTTCTCTTAAGTATTGTTTATTATGCATTCGCTTTATGCGAATGCATTTTATTTATTAAATTCAACTTTATTAATTTATAAAAATAATTTTTATGATTAAGTATTTTATATTAAAAATAATAAATAACAATCTGTTTCTCTCTCTCACTGAAAGAGAGGGATATATAATATATATCCCTCTCTCTCTCAGTATATATATATATATATATATATATATATATATATATATATATATATATATATATATATATATATATATATATATATATATATATATATATATATATATAATATGTTAGTGTATTCTACAAATAGAGTGCTCAACGTTCTTAAAGAACAGAGCAATAATAAATTAGTATTTATATATATATATATATATATATATATATATATATATATATATATATATATATATATATATATATATATATATATATATATATATATATATAATATGTTAGTGTATTCTACAAATAGATTGCTCAACGTTCTTAAAGAACAGAGCAATAATAAATTAGTAAAAACACTTATCTAATTTTTATTTTCTTCTACAGCTTGTTTCTCCATCAGTAGGATCATCAGGAAGGAATCTTTCTGATAATCCAACTGATGGAGAAACAAGCTGTAGAAGAAAATAAAAATTAGATAAGTGTTTTTACTAATTTATATATATATATATATATATATATATATATATATATATATATATATATATATATATATATATATATATATATATATATATATATATATATATATATATATATATATATATATATATTTGTGAAGTTGCTTTAAGTACTAATAAGCAATGTACAAAATGTTTGAAATATTTTACATTATCCTATCTTTATAAGAAATGCAGTTATTTTCATATTTTAAACATAAACAAACAGCATAAAAACATGTGTGATAACAATTGGATACATTTAGCAAGTCTTGAAGAAAATGTGCAAGCAACAATTAGACTTGTTGTTAAAACTGATGGAATTCCTGTTTTTAAATTATCAAAGTGGACCTTGTGGTCTTTGCTAGCATCCATTCATAATTTTCCATATTCATTGCAAATTACTAATATTTTGTTTTTTGGTTTCTGGTCCAGTTTTAAAAAACCAAACGTGCAATTATTTTTATCTTGTTTTGTTGATTTTTTACTAACCTATCCACTACTGGTATACTCTTATCTAATAATGTTCGTGTTTTTTTTTTCATGTATCTATTTTTTTGTGTGATACAATTGCAGGAGCTATGGTTTTTTGTTGTAGGTAGTTTAATGATTATAATGGTTGCCATTGGTGTTCTTCTCAAGGGGTAAGAGTTAAAAAAAGGTAGGAGGTCTTGTATGACTTATCCATTTTCTGATGTTATTGGGAGTTGTAGAAACCATACAGATTTTTTTTGGATTAATGTGATTAAAGGGTTTTTAGATTTTTCTACATTTGTAAGAGTACCTAAGAGTGAAAATGGAACAGTTGTTAATAATCTGCACTGTATTGAGCTTGGTGTTATGAAAGCTATGTTTTCTTTCTGATTTGATAGTTATTATTCTGGTTATATTTTTTCTATTAGAAGACACTGTACTGTTGTAAATAATCTTTTATCTGCAATCAGTGTGCCAAGCAATATAAGACAGACTCGATGATCATTAAGTTGTATAAAGCATTGGAAAGGTATTGAGTTTTTTAATTTTTTAGTTTTTTATGGTCCTGTTATTTTATGTGATGTTTTGCCTCCTCAGTTTTTTGACCATTTTACTCTTTAATCTAATATTGTTTTTACGTTGAACAATAATGTATTATCTGAAAGTGTAATTAATGAAGCCACATTATTAGTTAATAGATTTTTTTATGAGTTTTCTGATTTGTATGGTAAAGAAAATATGTTTTATATTAAAGAGTTATTTTAAAGCAGTTATATATATACAGAGCTTTTTTTAAAGCAGGTATTATATTTTAATGCAGTTTTTATTTAAGTAAACTAAAATCTTTCTCTCTCTCTCTCTCTCTCTCTCTCTCTCTCTCTCTCTATATATATATATATATATATATACATATATATATATATATATATATATATATATATATATATATATATATATATATATATATATATATATGTATATATATATATATATATATATATATATATATTTATATATATATATATATATATATATATATATATATATATATATATATTATGTATGTATGTATATATATATATATATATATATATATATATATATATATATATATATATATATATATATATATAAATTTTATACAGTATTTATTATATGTTTTTATAAAATTGTTATTGATGTCCTTTAAATATTGTATAAACCATCTTTTTTTTTTTAGCTTTAAAGACCCAAACGAAAATACTTTTAAAGTCAATTTTCGCAATTCTGTTTGTTTTGTTATGCTAATTTGTCAGTAGAGAACCAACAGACCACTGACTTCATAATTTTTCCATCTAAAATTATACTAAAATATCCTAATAAATACAATTTGAATTAGATGATATAAGTTATCAGAGAAAGTAAACAAAGTACACTTATTCGGAATAAAAAATGTAACTACTGCCATTTGGTTCTCGACTTTTTTGAAATAGGCTAAAAAACATGCTTAAGCATCATATTGCCTATAAAATATACTTACTGCAATATTTTTCTTTTTCACTAATATACAGGTTTAAGTTTTGCTTTATAATGACTATTATATTTTTTACAGATTTAAATATCTATATCAGTACAGAAAAGTAGAGCTGTATGATTTTTTGTTTTGTTAATTTAAACAGTTGAAAATTTAAAAAAAAAATTAGTTTAAAAATTGTAAAGTTCCTTACAAAAAAAACCCAGA